AATTTCAAATTTTTAATGAGTGTTTAATTGATCTAATTTTACAAGTTGAAATATTTAATGAAATAATTTAAAAAATTGAAATGTTTAATAAATGTATTTTTATAAATTAAAATATTTAATAAGTTCAAATAAAAATTTAAAGTATCATAAAATTAAAATATTAAATTTTATGGGCAAATTTTTATATTTAGCTATTCTAAAATGGAAATCTCTTCGCTCTTAATGCAGGATAAGGCGAGCAGCCGAGCAGGCAGGCATGAGGGGCAAGCCATTTGTACTATTTGCACACTTGCTCATATCCGAATGGTCACTGTCGAGATCTCTCATGTTTATGTAATCATACTCTCTCTTTTTTTTTTTTTTTTTTTTTTTTTTTTTTTTTTTTTTTTTTTTTTTTTTTTTTTTTTTTTTTTTTTTTTTTTTTTTTTTTTTTTTTTTTTTTTTTTTTTTTTTTTTTTCCTCCTACCAATTTCCCGGCAAAAGAACGATTATTGTTTGCGGAAAACATAAATTCAACCGTAAACTTTATTGTTTTAATTTTATTAGACTCTCATTTTTTATTTTGATCAATTAAATATTTTAAATTATAAATTATATCTATTAAACTCTTAAATTTTTAAATTTATTTTATTGAACATTTCAATTTGCAAAATTAGATCAATTAAATACTCATTAAAAGTTAAAATTTATGAAAATTATTATTTCAAAAGTCAATTTCAAAAGTCATGCTAACTACATATCAAGTGGACATTTTATGGATAAAAGCCAAAAATCTTTAAAATATTGATATTAGTGTTGAAAAGTGTATAATATTACTAAAATTTATAAATTTAAGTGCATGATAAGTTATACATAAAGTTCAAAGCGCCATAAAGTTAAAGTTTCAAAACAGTGAATTTATGTATTCAGTGATTGTTCTTTATAGCAAATATCCAACCACCATGGATATCTTAAAATATTTTTAAAAACAATTAGAAAAATGAAAAGGGAAGATAAAATTATATATTAAAGAATAGTCTTTGGAATAAAAATGTTAAGTATGCTAATTTTAACTGACTCCTCCAAAATCAGTTTTGCTAATGGTATTACTTTCAATCTCTCCATTAAGTTTAATAATTTTTGCATCTTTGATTACCTAACTATTGGCTGGTTTTAGAAAATTTGAATTCTGATAATTTCCTCTATTTTATTAACTGAATTTAATTGATTTTCTTATTATTTTCTACTTTATTATTTATCTGAATTTACAAGTCAAATCTTGTTTGAATGAAAAAAGCTTCTTTTCAAAACTGATAAAATAAGTTTTGTAATTTATTAAATAAAAAAATTACCCTATAATTATAAAATGACACTATATTGAGCAATCGTCTCTTAATATTATTTCTTAATTATTGAGCAATAATTTCTTAATACTTCTTATTAATCATTCAGTTTAATAAGATAATAAAGTTAGTTTCGGCATTTAAAATTAAGTTCAAACGAATAATTCTTAAAATTATATATTTGTTAATAATACTTTTACTACCAATATATGTTGTTTTTATATCATATCGAATGATGTGTTAAAATAAGGGTTAATTTGTACTATATATATGAGTAATCACTTAATGAAGTACCAGTTTGAATTTATAACTTAAAAATACCTAATATTATATTTTTGTAACTTAAAAATTGGATTGCGGTAAAAGACATTTTACTGTTACAAAAATATAAAATTAGATATTTTTAAGTTACAAATTAGTATTGGTATTTTCATTAAGTGATTACCGATATAGTCTATGTCCTTTTAATGAAAATAACCCTTTAAGTAAAAGAGATGATATGTTTAATGTTTAAGTATCTTTTGAGAAAAGTAAAAGAAAAGAAAAAATTATTAGAATATGCAAATACAGTGAAGGGGATTAAGAAATTATATTAATAAAAATCTGGAAATTTCAAGTTCATCTAATCCAACCATTAAAGTTGTTTTGGAAATTTGTCAATTTCTTGCAAGCAAATCAAGAATACGCTCAAAGACTTATTCAATTAATTAATCATCCACATTATTATTATTATTATTATTATTATTATTATTATTATTATTAAACTGTATTAATAGATAAGTATGGCCATGATATGGGAATCTTAAGACGTTTAATTCACCCGTGCAATTGAAAAAGATTTATTTATTTATTCTCTTTCAAGTTTCGACGGGATTTTCACTTGACAACGACGTCGGATAGCGACCGGAAAGGCTAAGAAAACAAGATAAAGTTAAAAACTAGGAATTGATTTGGTATATCTCCACCCAAAACGGTAAATCAAGAATTGTCAAATTTCTTTTTGGGTTTGGTGAGGAGTAACTGACAGAGATATACTGTTAACCATGTAAATGTAATAGTATGGTTTTATTGTTATTTTTTTTAAATAATTATTTTTATGTATTTAATTTGACATTTGTATTAAATGAATAAAATTTTCAACATATTTTATAGTGATAGTGTCAGTACATTTTGTATATATCTAACTGGATTAAGGAGATAATGATTATATACTGACTATTAAAACATATTATCTAGGATATTAGAAATGAGATTTATGTTTTTAATCTCAATTTAATTAATATGAGCAAATATAAATTATTCTGTGCTTTAATTCTTTAAAAAGTGAGTTTCATTTATCAGGACAATAATTCTCTGTGAACCGGGCAAAGACAACTTGTATTTGTGAAATATTAATTAATGATAGAATCAATGTATTGGTTTCATTGTGTAAACCTCGCAGGTGGATTTTTAATCCGACACATAAAATAAGTTAAGCGACAATTTTAAAAATTAAAATTGTTATTTAAATAAACTGTCAGTGATTTATTTTATTTGACAAGCATATGTAATTTTTACATGGGGAACATAAATTATTATGTTATAGAAAGTTCAATTCATAAGGAATTCAATTGTGAATTTTTAGTGGAATAATTTATGGTTAATTATAATAAGAATATACTGGTCATGTATGGATTCTTATTATAATTTGTAGCCTTATTAATTTATTCTTGAGGTCCCTACTGTGGTTTAATTATTTAGACTGTACATGGGTTATGTATTTTAAATAATTAATAGATTAATTTTTTAATTAAAATTTTATTTATTAATTTTTTAATTAAAAAAGGATAATCGGTTTTATCTAAAATATCAACCGCATGGGTAACAGAACAAGGATATTTTATTTATTAATTTTTTAATTAAAAAAGGATAATCGGTTTTATCTAAAATATCAACCGCATGGGTAACAGAACATTTAATTGACTTTTTGAATACGCATTAGAGATAACATGGTATTCAAAAAAAAATGGTATTCTAAAAAAAAAAAAACTCAGTAGTCTTTTTGACTGTACATGGGTAATGTTTTTGAATACGCCATAAAGTTATATTATATTATATTTAAATTATATCAATTTTATAAAAATAATTATGAAATCAAATAGGGTGTGACTCAACTAATTTTTAAAATTGGTAATAATTAGAAGAAAATTTCATTGGTAAAGGAAAGAATCTCTAACTACTATAGCCGTTGTTGATTATTTTATAGTACATGTTATTTATAGAGTAGAATTAATTATAGATAAAGTTAGGAATGATGGCTTTGTGACTATTGATTGATATGAATTAAAAGCAATTTTATTAAAATGACTTTCTTTCCTTTTGTTTTCAAATAGAGGTGGAGAAAATAATTAGTTGATGCCAGAGGAATCTAAAACATAAAATATAACCCAAAAAGACACAACACAACGTTATTCTTTTTTTTTTTTTTTTTTTTTTTTTTTTGGGGTAAAGTTTTTTTTTTTTTTTTTTTTTTTTTTTTTGGGGTAAAGTGATCGACAGATTTACTGCCGCCTCCTCTGTTTTAAGGTAAAGCGAAGATTTTTTTTTTTTTTACTTATTTTAATAGTAAATTATCATAATCCACTCACTTTTCTACATGCAAGCATGGAATAATCTGATAACAGTCACTAAATAAACGTAAAATAAACCTTAATTGTTACTTGTTCAAAGTATCAAGAAAATAAATTAATCTGATTTGGTGAATTGAATTAATATAAATTTTTATACAGATAAATCAAATTCAACTAAATTTTTATTACATTGTTTACAAATTAGCTAAAGAAAAGTCTAATGATGTTAGGTGAGTATTATTTACGACAAAAGTTTGACAAAGCTGCAGAATCGTTTCAATCGTATCGGAAGAACATTTTCAGATAACTCGAAAAAAGAAAAATAGGGACAATAAGAGTTCAAGGGAAGATGCTGTTTTCTACCATACCATTTTTCTTCTTCAGACCCAACAAATTTAGAAAACTCCAAATACTAAAATCACTATCAAATAGCTGTCTTAACAAATGAAAACAAAATTCTAAATAGCTTTTATGGTTGTTGTTTACGTTTCCATAAAGCAACTGATAACATGAAGATGTTTATTCTGTTTTTTTCTTCAAGTATATATGTTCACACTTCACACTAAAATCTAATCTAGATACCAAATTCAGTTCAAATTATAATATTGCCAAATTTCAGAAAAAAGTTCAGAAAAAAGTATCCAAAGAGGTGAGAACATATAAGTGAACGAAAGACTTGCAACCCATTGCCTTCAGATTCTGGGTAAAATCTTATTGATGATATTCATCTTAAATTGATGTCAGTGTATGCATTATTTGCCATTGATTTTTAAAGGATAATAATTTAGGTGATTAGCGAAATTGATGGATTTCAAAATTGACCTTACAATACAAATTAAGTGTTTTAATCCAATTGATCTTCTCACTACTGTGAGGAATTGGTGGTCTTAAATTCGAATTCTTTCCACCATAAAAATTTTCGCAAATGTGGTGAGTCACTAAAATTTTCACCGATTTGCTGAGTCAAGAAAATAATTTACCCTCTATTGTACGACACGTCATGTTATTTCGGTCCATTGAAGCTCCTTATGAATAAAAAAAAAAATTGAAATGGTTCATTAGACTTCAATTGTACAAAGAGCAAAACAAAATTAATCTGTAACAAATGGTAATAGAAGAGAAGTTTTACACCATCACATTTACACAAATTTTACAGGTAAAAGTAAGAATCATAACAGAGTTACTGTCCACAATGGAGACACAAACATTGTAACCTCCCACAACACAACCTCAGATGTGTCTTGTCCAGTGCATTCTTTACCAGTGATTTGCATCCAATCCAAACACCAAATAACAAAAACCCCCCAATAAAAAATATAAATAAATTTCCCCATACTTTATAGAACAAAAATTTAAATTTAAACAAAAAACAAAAGACCCTGTTCCTTATTTCTGCAATGCTCCACAAATGGCATTGGATTCTTGAATTTTATTCAGAAAGTGATTTGGTCTTGGACCTATAGAGAAGCTTCTTCTTCTTGGAGGATTGGTTATCAATGGTGAGCACTACCTTTCCTGGTTCACTAATCTTGAATGTATCAGAAATTACAGGCTCATCGGTTGGGCTAATCTTTCTAGTCTTTGATACAATAACGGTGTAACCATCTTCTGCACTCGGCACAAACTCAGCTCCGTAACTTACATCCCAACCCAAAACTCGGAGTTCCCAAACCAAAAGGGTTCTCTGCAATAAATTCAACAATTCAAACAGTAT